GAAGAAACTATGGAGAAAGGTGATCAAAATGGTGATTTCTCAAGCAAGGAAGAGGGTGGCAGCAAGGGAGGCTCAAGGTTGAAGAGAAATCAAAAAACTCACGTAGGCACATCACACATGGCCTAGGGTTTGGTGCAAGATGCATATATATAAGCACTTAAGTTTTAAACACACAGTATTAGCAATTATAGCTACGCTTAGTATTTTAATCTCAAACTTTAGATTCTGAATCTACTCATTTTTCTAAGATTTTCCATATTTTTATATTATTTTTCGGAGCACCTTTCCGGTACGCGCTTTCCATAGCCAGTATCAGTTCTGGCACCAGTTCTCATTATTTTAACTTGAAACTCGTTTTACAAGTCCTACATATTATTCTAGTAATATCCATACACTTATTATAATTTTCTAGAATATTTCACCGGTACGCATTTATACCGGGTAGCAGAACCGGTATTTGCACTTTTTATCAGAAAAGCGACTTTCAACATTGTTACTCACTTACTATAATTATTAAAGCCTCATAATAGTTATTAGGGTCAATTATGGAATTATCTCATAATTATCTAATTAATTTCCTTAATTAGCGGTGCGGATTCTTACATTCACCCCACCTTTTTAGGATTTTGTCCTCAAAATCAGAAAACATACATGTCCCGAAGCGCGGGATACTGGGGGAGAAGCTCGTCCTCTCGCTTCCAGAATTACCCTTCAGGAATTCTTCCCGTTCAACGTACTCTGACCATCGAAATGATCTCACTCCTCAGCTGCTTCTCGCCACGGTCGAGAAACTTGAGTGGTCCGGCGAGAGTTTTTAAGTTCTCTCGAACCTCCACAACATCCGAATGCACCACGTGCGAAGGATCCGCTACAAACTTACAAAGTTTAGACACGTAAAACACGTCGTGGGTGTTGGTCAAGTTCAGAGACAAGGCAAACCGGTAGGCAACAGGTCCTACTCTACCATGTAACTGGTATGGCTCAATGAATCGCGGGCTCAGTTTCCTCACTCTGAGTGCCCGAACAACACCGGTGACAGTGAAAGTCTCACAAACACGTGCTCACCCTCACTGAACTCCAGCGGACGATGCTTGACATCATAATAGCTCTTCTGGCGATTCTGCGCCTGCTTCAACTTTTCACGGATCATCTGGATCTGCAAGGTGGTATCTTGGACAAAGTCCAAGCCAAAAAGCTCCTTGTCCCCAACCTCAGACCAACAAGTAGGAGTCCGACACCTCCTACCATACAATGCTTCGTAGGGCGCCATGCCCAGGCTAGCAAAGAAAACACAGAAGCACAAAAACTCAACCAATGTCAGGTACCTATCCCATGTTGGGCCCTGCTCCAAAGTGCAATCCCTCAACATGTCCTCCAAGATCAGAATGATCCGCTCAGTCTGTCCAACAGTCTGAGGATGATAGGTTGTACTCAGTCGCAACTGAGTCCCAAAAGATCCTTGCAGTGCCTCCCAGAACCGAGATGTGAACTTCGGTTCCTTATCACTGATGATGCACCCGGCACCCCGTGAAGCCTCACGATCTCGCGAACAAACAGTTTGGCCAACTGCTCTAAAGGGAAACTCACCCTTACCGGAAGAAAGTGGGCAGACTAAGACAATCAGTCCACAAAGACCCAAAAAAAAAAAACACAGCCAGCCTGAGTCTTCGGCAATCCCACATCGAAGTACATGGAAATACTTCCTCACTTCCACCGCGGTACAACAAGAGGTTGAAGCTTATCAACGGCTTCTGGTGTTCAATCTTCATCTTCGAGCATCAGAACAAAAGGTCACACAACAACAATGCCCTTCCGCATTCCAAGACACACCGTCCTGGTTTTTCTCAAAAAGCTCATTCCCGACTCTCACAGTCTCCATCTCGAGAAGTGCACCCCCATACAAGGAAGTCACAATCAGATCTTGAAACTTCACAATGACATCAAAAACGTCATTTGATTCTCTGGGATCATCAGTCACTTTCTCAACAGAGGCGACATGACCCCACATACTCTATTCCACACAATAACTTGAGTGAGTTTGGTCCTATTCCATGACTCTAACATCGACTAGACTTAAAATTTTATAAATCATTATTTTCAAAATAATTTCATGTTCCTTTCACAGTACGAAATCATAATCATGTTCATCTCACCCAATGCATGTTAGTTAACATGCTCATTCACATAGTAACGTACCTTAGTTCACGTACACCTGCAAAATTTTAAATTTCAATAACATAATAAATCAGAAGCTCTATGAAATAATATACCTCAATCTCCATGGCATCTGCAACTCAAAAGTCAATCAACGGTGAAATAACATAGATACATCACCACAATTTATCGTACATATGTCATGCTTTACACTACCCATGGTGTTAACATGCCAACTACTTATGAAGCATATCAATAATCAACATAAGAACCTAGAGTCATGGAGACCACTCAACCCTCAAGCTAATTGTACATGCACTGCCTCGCATATACAAGAACGCGCGTGGCCTTGCCACAAATTTCAAGTATTACACACTCAGTTTCCTGAAGAGAATTTCACATCCTCCAACAGAGCACCATCACACTTAAGTAATGGCGTAAGGCATCTTGCCTCAAAACAACATGACCGGTGCTTCCCATGGAGACACGCTCGGTCGGAAGAAGTCTTTCGCCTAAAGACCCTCGGAACGCAACTTCAACTCAGCCAACTCTGGTGGCGACATCCGATATGGAGCTAACAAAATTGGCCCCACACCAGGCAACAAGTCAATGGAGAACTCTATCTCCCTCTGTGGAGGAAACTCGGGAATCTCCTCTGGAAATACTCCGAGGAATTCCCTCACCACAGGAATGCCAGTGATATCCTCATGTGTCCCACTCACTAAACCTCCCAACATGACATATCTGAATGCCCCTGCTCTCAAGGCCTTCCTAGCCTGCAGCAATGAAATGTACGGCGAGGAACTAGCTGCGGAATCACTCGGAGACATCACCACTCGCTAGGCACAACAATCAATCAATCAATCAACTATTGGACAATCTATCCACGCCAAGGATGATTTCCAAATTAGCCATCGGCAACCCTATCAGATCTACCGAGAAGTCACGACCCTCCCACTGAAACACGACATCTCAATGTACAGTGGTAGCATCACACTTTTCTCCGGTGGCGGTAGTCACCCGCAACGGTGGAGAAAGCACAGACATGGGCAACTCAAGCACCAAAGCAATCGGGGTTGCAACAAATGAATGTGTCGCCTCGGAATCAAACAATACATCAATAGACACAGTACCTCTGACAAGGTTCGGAGCTCAATCCGACTGCTACCTATCCAAAGTGTAGACACGCTCAGTAGCAGGTGGCACTGCAGGAGCCGAAGTAGGTGCCAAAGGAACCATCTGCAATGGAACTTCCTGAATAGTTGCAGGTCTCGCCGTCGACGACAGACCGTCTTTAGAAAAGTGGACCTCCTTGCCACAGTGAAAGCATACCAACTGCCCCGAAGCACAACGTCTCGCATGCTCCTTTCCACACCCCGAACATCTAGGAGTGGAAGGATGCCTCGCAAAGCTCCCCTGCTGTGACGAAGTCCTATTGATCTGACCAGGCGCTTGCCTAGCCGCAAACTGTTTACTCTTGCCTTTCGGACCAAACTTCTTGTCTCTCCAAAAAGTAGGAGCGGGAGGGGAACTACCAGTCCCCTTCGCCTCAGCAACCTTGGCCCTCTTGGCCTTACTCGCGATACAGACATCCTCGATATCCCGACACTGCTGCACCAGTGTCCCAAAGTCTCTCGAAGCTGCACCAGCAATGCGATCAGCAATATCCTCACTAAGTCCTCTGCGGAACTTAGCAGCTAAGAACGTCAGAGTAGGTGAAGCCATCCGAAAGTGCGCAAACTTTACCAGCTCATTGAACTTGGCCAGATACTCGTCAACAGACAACGAGCCCTGCACCAATCTATCAAACTCCCCCTGCTTCCTCTCCTGCGCATCATAGGGAAAGTATCTGCCCAGAAAGCAGTCCTCAAAGAATGGCCATGTCATGACATGACCCTGCATCTCGAAAGTGTGAGAGGTGTTCGTCCACCACTCATGGGCATCGTCCTCCAGCATAAAAGTCGCAAACATCAACTTCTGCAAATCAGTGCACTGCATGACCCGAAAGATCTTGTCCAACGCCTGCAGCCATCTTGCTGCAGCAATAGGGTCACAAAACCCATCAAAAGCAGGTGGCTTATGCTTTCTGAAAGCGTTCAGCCTACGGTCAATCACGTCACGGTCCTCAGCAGGCTCCATAAAGGGTTCCATCACCCCAGTGACATGAGTAGCACTATCAATGTGACTCAGGCTCTCTTTTTGAACACTAGGTGAAGGCGGCGGTGGCGGTGGAGGTGGAGGTGGTGGCGGAGGATACTGACCAACAGCAGGGCCAACCCGCATCTCCTCCAACATAACCCGCATCAAGGTCATGATCGCCAGCCGATTTGCCTCAAGAGCATCCTCCGTGGCCTTCTGGTTCGCTTCTCAAGCGGCTTCCATCATTGCCACGTTGGCCAATCTAGTGGCCTCATGCATCTCAGCCAATGCAGTCAGGACTGGGTCAGGTTGGTCCTCAGCAATCTCGCGGGTTCTCCTGGGTATTACCATGACTTTGCACAAGTTACACACATTATGAGTTGATCAGACCCACGCAATGTGATCACATGTGCATCATCATAATAACACTCAACGGAGCAAACACACAAGACAGACACAACCAAGCATCCTAGTTATTGCAATACATACAGGTTTTTCCCTCGAACCATTGCTCTGATACCATAAAACATAACACCCCGTATATATCCGGTTTGTTATCATATCATCGTATTAAGCTACGCTTAATTTAAAAATGCGGAATATCTTTTTCTTTTCAATTATGACGTCATTATACTTAGCCAAGTTGATTACTTAGTCATTTCCATAAAAACATCGCCTGTATGTAATTGCAATTCAACATTAACTGGAATACCTCATATATAAATAACGGTGAGTATCTAAAATCACGGAACTACAACACGTAGTCCGGACATAATCCTGATACATTATTACAACTCAAAACTAAACTAAAACATAGTCAATCAATGTGGCATGGACAATCCCCATGCTCACCAAATAAGGCAACACAGCCACACATAGTCTCAACAACAGCAACATAATAATAACAAGATAATAGCATATCATCAGCAGATATAATCCAGCATCCAAATATGTCAGCATATGAACAACAATATCAGCTAAGCTCTCGCCTCTTGTCGCTAGAGGTCTCAACCCCCGCATTACCTGAACCTGAAATGGTGCCCCAAGCGTGGGGTGTAACAGCCTGTTGTACACCGGTATTGTTAACATTTATTTATGATATTAAGCGCAGTTACAATCACAGCAGTTCATTTATAAAAATGCGAATAAACTTTTTCTGATTATTACGCGAGCATTTAAAACAATAAAAAGCGTAATAATTAAAAGCTGTGACCGTAACTGTAAACTCTTGCAGAATACTTATTTTAACTACTTTTACATCTTACTTTACTTATTATAAGTTACTAAGGGGTTCCCATAAACCCACTTAGCCAATTTCTCAACTTTACGTTTTTACCTTTTCGAACACGGTTCACTAATTAATTTTCTACGAACACACCGCTCACAACCAGACCTTTCTTTCAAATTATATTTTTGCCTTACTTAATTCCTTTTCTAATAAGCTATCACACGCTCAATTCGGAGCTCGTTTGCTCCGTTTATCGCCGTTTGAAGTTGGACAAGCAAAACAGCCAACCAACCCCAAAACATCTCAAAACACCTCTCACTCCACGAATTACTGCAGCAAATCCTCTCACCCAATTGCTCTAAACTTTTTATGCTACAAACTAGACACCTCAAGCTTCGATTTGATATATCATACGCTTAATTTTACTGAGAAAAGAAGCGGGAATTAATTTCCCAAAAACTGCCAGAAACAGCCCCTGCATAAGGGGGTTTTGGATAGTCCGTGTTCTTTTAATCATACAGGGATGCGTGCAACCCGGAATTTTCTCATATTTTAACACCATGTAGGGGACATCTCAAGCTTTAAAATGGCGTATGGAACTTCCCTTTCGGACCTCTGTGGAGGGAGATATGATCTCCCGAAGTTCACCTAAAATCTGCCAATTCTACAGAAAATTCGCCAGAGTTTCCTTTATTTTTCCTTAAATCCCCAAATTTACACAAGCTCACTAATACCTCAATGTACCTAATAATCCAATAATAATCCAATGGGTGGCACACACAAGGACCAACAATGCCTTGGGGTACTTACAACCCAATTCAGTTTATATTTATTACACAGTTTATACTATAATGCTCACTTTAAAATCCTTAACTTGTTTCAATCACAAGATCCATTTACATGCCATTTCTCAACATAAGCATATAATCATCATCCTACAATAGGCCTAAAGCCCTTCCATCATATTACATCAATATTCATGCATACTTACAACATTTCATTTAAATATAACAATGTACATATTCATAACTTGAATTTACAACTTGAAATATGAACTTGAATTTACAACTTTAAACATAACTTCGAATGAAATAATAACTAACTAGACTCACGCACAATATATATCATAAACAAGTAATGACAATGCTCCCATGACTCATCCTACGGGCCTCTTGCCCGCTACTCCTGTGCCACTGCTACCTCCTGAAATAAATGCCCCGAGACGAGGTGAGATATACGGATATATCTCAGTAACCCAGAGGTTCTGGAGAAAACTCCGCACAATGGTTCACTTCGATGCATATCAATAGTATAAAACAACCACTTTCAAAACGGGATAAAGCAAGGAATTTAGAGAAACTGGGGAATATCGGGATATAAAATACGACGAAGCGGGATGGTAGCTACCAATACCACGCAACGTCCTCGGCATATATAAGCCTACGGGTATCATCCAAGGTGTGTTCCAAGAACCACAACCATGATGCCCCAACCATCCATATACACCCGAGACATTCCTAGTGTGCTCCTATCTGGATCACACACCACGACCCTAGGTCAACTGGAACTCCCTCTCGAAGACCTATCCAGTGGAAGTTTGAAACGCCCGAAGGCAAAAACTGTCTACTGGCCAGAGACTCGGTACATAAGTACCCACTGTGATAATGCATGCATGCTCATGTTGTTCTACACTACTCATATACACTTCCTACCGTTGCCATCAACTGGCAAGGTGAAACAGAAAAGGGGAACAAGTCCCAGTACCAAGAGGTTACCTCAATATGTTCTTCCACTTACCTCCACAACATCTTATTTTTCAAACTCATTATTCAACAGAATGCCTCAATCCTACTTGGTCCGGGACCAAGGGCAACCTACCGAGCTCACGGTTCGGGGTTCAAATCCACGTACGACAACCTATAATGGTCACACATAGGATCATCAATCCACTTGTAACACATGTCAACGTACAAAGCAACGTACTATGCTCTCCCATTATTTATTTTTTATATATATAGCCGAATTGGCCTTAATTAATTTCAATAATTTTTTTCATCATTTTCTACTAATCCAATCATCATCAATTTACTTAATACTCACACTTTCATCTAGGAATTTTATTAAACATATACTTTACACAATTTTCCTTCTCTTGGCTGAATTTTCCTATACTAGATTCAATGGATTTTTCTTACTATTTCTACTTAATTTATATTAAACCAACTTTCTTTTGGTCACTTGTAAATCTTAGTTTCAGTTAGAAATTTTATCAAACACCTAGCTTGCATACTTTCTCTTGCCTTGATCGATTGCTTCTTGGTTCCTACAAATAATTTCTTTTGTTCATTTCAAGCCTATACATGCATAGTTTAACTAATACTCAACAAACAGCCAAAACCATGCATCTAACTACTTAAATAATCATAACATTAAATACTTACAATCAGCCCATGACAAAATTCCAAGTCTACTATAAATTTTCCAACCATTCAAACATATATATATTACCTTGTTTAACCTCCACCACACTAGGAATCAACTTGCAACTTTAATATTTGGAAAACCACTTCAAATCCTTGTAAGATAGCCCTAGGGTCGAAGGAGAAAGAGGCAAGTATATCACTAATGAGAGCTTCTCACAAGGAATAAAAGATAGGGCTAACTTCTTAAGGTTGTTGTCTTTGATTTCTTTGGAGAAACCGAAGCAAGAAGATGTCAGGAAATGAAGTTGTACGCTTGCCCTATTCTTTCATATGCGTTCGATTTTGTAAAAGAAGAAGAAACAAAAGGATGAACCGTGGAAATGAGACTTAAAGAGGCAACCGACTTTGGGTACCCTTTATAACAAATGAATTAACTTTCATGCCATCTCCTTTTTGACTTTTCAACATGATGGTTATTTTGCCATCTCACTAAAGACAAGGTAAGAAAACTAGCGTGAAAAACCAAAAGGAATATAAAACCGATTTGGAAGGCTAAGCAATTGCTTCTTGGTTGCTTAATTCAAATGCTACTACTTGACTACAAGGAAATAAAAGTGACGTGGAGGTGCAGCAAAAAGAGATTTGCTTTAGTAAAATTAAAGTCCAAGTAACTTCAATTGTTACCCTATACACATCTTCAATTCTTCTAACCTCAATTAAATTCTTATTGGTTTTTCTTTTATTTAATTTATCTCAACTTAATTTTAATAATTATTACAGCAATTATCTAATTAAATTAAAGGTACTTTAAACCCACTAATTCTGCTAAACTAATTAATTATACATTCTAAATCATAATTATACTTATTTCGTCTAATTATTAAAATAAATCTGATCTTTTACTACCGTAACATCCATATCCTCATATATAATCCATAATTATATTTGGGCCCTATTAGACTTACATGGTATGAACTGTATCCTTAAATTAATTACCATATTTATCACATGATTTCCTACTCACCATTTCGTTAATTACGTGTTTAATCTAATTAAACACTCGATTGATTCACTGTTATATATTTTGACAGTGAGAGTTGTTATATTCACCCCACCTTTTAGAATTTTGTCCGCAAAATTAACATCCTAACGATCTTGTAACACGGGTGTAATCGGAGAATCTCATCTTTCCATTCTCTACTAGCCTCCTTAGATGTGCATCTTTACAATTTTACCTTCGTCACAGGCATAACCTCGTTTTTGTGGTATCCATCGGTACCCAATCCTTCACAAACTTGACAATTTCAGGGATCTGGCCCCTTAATTCATTATATTTTTACTGTTTCCTTAAACCACTGTTGCATTTCCGTTAATTGTAGTTCATAATATACTCATTTTACAAACCTGTCACTTATGGTGCCACAACCTTTAATTCACAACTCTTTAAGCTCTTCATGGTTAACTGTTGCACTTTCACAAATTTATAGGTAATATATAACCATATTACAATTTGTCTGTCTCACTTCATCTCATTCTCATCTTCAGCTATCTTTCTAACCCAATGTCGTTCGCAAAGGCATCTAACCGTATTTATAATAAACTCTAATCGTTCTTATGTATACTTACTGATTATTCCTGGATTGTTTCCAACTCACACTTTCTTTAGTACTTAACTTCTCTCGCTGTCCTTACTGTTTCGACGATACCCCAACAACCAGTCTTTTCCATTACTGTTACTACTCTTATCATTTCGTTGTTTTCTTAGCTTGCCCACAAGCGCATATCTTCTAGTTTCAATGGCATGCAACAGCATCCGACTAATCCCAACTCGCCTTACATTTCATTTTTACGTACTTTACTTTACTTTGTTCCGTGTCACCATACCTTCTTAGGTGATCACCACTATGTCTTTCTCTTTGGGACACGAAGCTAACAATCCTCACAACAGCTCATACTCCCTGTCAGTCATTTCCAGGTCTTTTCCCACAATTCCATTCATGAATATTTTCACCTACAACATCACATTTATAATTTACACTCCCTGTTAATCTGTTTATCACTTAACCATTTAAACTCCATAAACTTAGCCCTCTCATAGCCTAAACTCAACTTCCATCAATGCTTTCCGTATCAAAGGCCTACTCCCTAATATTTTTAGCAATTAACCCTTCCTACTCATCATTCTGTAACACTGTTATAGATTCAACATATTTTTCATTCATTTATACCACCATTTCCTCATTATTGACATTTTTATCATGGATGTCCCACTAAAAATACGATATCATTATCCTCCCATATAAGTCTCCCCATATTGATAATCTCTAAACACAATCGTTCTATCACCTGGCACTACTTTCATCCTTAAACAATTTCAAAAATTTTATCAATACTATGTATCTCCCAAAGATATATCTCTCTCACTTAGCATGTATCGCTTACTATGCTCCAAAGCACTCCATCGAGTTATCAACCTTTCTTTAATCACCACAATTTAAGTTACTGATCCTTATTAGACATCTTCACTTAATTCTTCACAACTAACCTCTTACGAAAGGCCATCAGGACACCATCTTAACTACACGTTTCCTCATTAGTCCCTTCTAATTCAACATTCATTCAATTCCTCAATATTAACACGTTGCTATTATGTATCATAAGGCAATAATCCTCGACAATCTTCACACTTTCCTTGGAACTCAAAATTTATATCACCACACTCGGTGTACACGTACCCACATGTCCTAGTGCTCGGAACTCACACCTCAAACTACCTTCTCATGACGTCTCATATTTTATATTACACTCGATATATTTCTGTTCACATAAAGTTACCTGATATCCTGTGTTGCGTTCTTCACACAACACAATCCTCCCAATACAGTGGGTAAAATATCCCCAGGTCAAACCCCTCGAGCTCTAGCTGTCCTAAGGGCCCCAGATGTAAATGACCCACCGATCAGAGAATCTGCCCTTATGATTCACGCAGTAATAGGTAATCTACCACCAGTTGCCCCTGTGCTAGGAGCATCATCAATTGTTTCTTATCTGTGCATTTATATAAAACACCTCAACTATATTAGCAATCCCATCAATGCGAGATACTTCCTCGTCTCATATTACTCCTATCAAATACTAATAGTCTCCGGGAACATAATCCGCACGGAGATAGCTATACACTCCGGGCACATAAGCCGCACAGAGAAAGTAATATCAATTCATATAATGTGCACCCAGTGTATAGGAAAATTCATATATATATTATATCCGTATATAACGGCAAGACGTGTACCTAGTACACCCCAGATCACACCTGGACCCAGTCCATTTGGTGTCTGTAACATTTCCGTATATAACGGCCAAATGTGTTTGGTATATTCACATGGGGCTACCCCCAATAATAATAGTAGTAGTGGTATAATATACACATATTACATATAAGTAAATTCATTATACTTCCTCGTCTGATTCTCCCCACCGATAGTTTACTTTCCTCTTGGTTAACCCTCAGACCTGGTTTATAACATAGTCAGTATTATAATAATTCATATTCTCTTCACAATCTCGTACACATTCCCTAACTCTTGATAGTTTCTTCTATCATGTTACCGTTCAAATTGTATAGAACTAAGTGCATCATTAACACAATTTATAATTTTATTGTACATCAGTCCTTGCACTACTGATACAATTCACAATTTTCTGTATATCAGTCCTTGCACTGATCATACAATACACAATTTATTGTACATCAGTCCTTGCACTGATGATACAATTCACAATTTTCTGTATATCAGTCCTTGCACTGATCATACAATACACAATTTATTGTACATCAGTCCTTGCACTGATGATACAATTCACAATTTTCTGTATATCAGTCCTTGCACTGATCATACAATACACAATTTATTGTACATAAGTCCTTGCACTGATGATACAATTCACAATTTTCTGTATATCAGTCCTTGCACTGATCATACAATACACAATTTATTGTACATCAGTCCTTGCACTGATGATACAATTCACAATTTTCTGTATATCAGTCCTTGCACTGATCATACAATACACAATTTATTGTACATCAATCCTTGCACTGATGATACAATTCACAATTTTCTGTATATCAGTCCTTGCACTGATCATACAATACACAACTTTATTGTACATCAGTCCTTGCACTGATAATACAATACACAACTTTATTGTACATCAGTTCTTGCACTGATAATACAATACATAACTTTATTGTACATCAGTCCTTGCACTGATAATACAATACACAACTTTATTGTACATCAGTCATCATTCAATGGTACCCTAGTCCTTTCACTAGTTATATCATTTTCACACTCAATTTCATTTTACTCTTATGCATGTATCTACACTTAATGTAATTACCTATCAATTTTCATCACACTAGATGAGTAATCTTTAGAAAACATTTCTAAAATTTCATACCTTTAGCTATCATGAGGTTTTGCTCCCCAGTAAGTGGCTCATATATATAAGTCTGATCTCCTGCTTGAGTCCCATCAATTTTCCTGCTCACTTCCACCCTTGGAGGTTGTAGAATATTCATTACATTGAAATACCTCCACTCCGTCTATCAACCCATATCAAACACCAAATGATTTCACAAGCATACTACTGTTAGTGGTACATATATATAGACCACTAGATCATATTTCCTTTACAATTCTCATTACTGTCTTACTCATGACTATACATTTCAACCATCCTATTCATTTATCACTGACACGTCTGCCAATTTGAATCGACATCCATTAATTACAATAGTGCCCTCATCGTACATTTATCTTATGTCATCCATGGCGATATTCTCAATTTCTTCCTTCCACCCATACTGCATAATTATTTCATCTCACCTATGTTTACTCAACACTAACTCCTTATGGATTTCAATCTCATATTTCAATGTCTCTCAATTTCACACTTCACTATCATGATAATTTTTTTTTTTTCAAATTTTCAATCCCTTCAGATCTGATATCAAATATTCCCTTTATTTCTCTACATAAACCATTCCAACTCATTCAAGTGTACACCATCTATCAGGGACGTATAACTTCTAATCAAACATAACATATTCTAACTCGTAACTAAGCATACTTGTTCACATTTTTCAATAATCCATCAGGTTCTAAGTCACTCACCTTAATGAAGTCCCTTCACCACGTCCACCTGGACATAATTGTTTTTACTATACTACACATATACTTGGAAATTTCACCAATCTCATAATTGTTTTTAACTCGGTGCTCCAGGGTTGCCACGCAGGCTTCTTACGATAACCACGCATGTAACACAAATGAATGGGTTGATCAGATCCACACTAAGGAATCACATATGCAGTAATCGATAAGAATCTACATACAACTTTGCAGCACATAACACAACTATACATTATCAGAGTTCCCTAACAAAACTGCTCTGATACCATAGAATGTAACAGCCTGTTGTACACCAGTATTGTTAACATTTATTTATGATATTAAGCGCAGTTACAATCACAACAGTTCATTTATAAAAATGCGAATAAATTTTTTCTGATTATTACGCGAGCATTTAAAACAATAAAAAGCGTAATAATTAAAAGCTGTGACCGTAACTGTAAACTCTTGCGGAATACTTATTTTAACTACTTTTACATCTTACTTTACTTATTATAAGTTACTAAGGGGTTCCCATAAACCCACTTAGCCAATTTCTCAACTTTACATTTTTACCTTTTCGAACACGGTTCACTAATTAATTTTCTACGAACACACCGCTCACAACCAGACCTTTCTTTCAAATTATATTTTTGTCTTACTTAATTCCTTTTCTAATAAGCTATCACACGCTCAATTCGGAGCTCGTTTGCTCCGTTTATCGCCGTTTGAAGTTGGACAAGCAAAACAGCCAACCAACCCCAAAACATCTCAAAACACCTCTCACTCCACGAATTACTGCAGCAAATCCTCTCACCCAATTGCTCTCAAATTTTTATGCTACAAACTAGACACCTCAAGCTTCGATTTGATATATCATACTCTTAATTTGACTAAGAAACGAAGCGGGAATTAATTTTCCAAAAACTGCCAGAAACAGCCGCTACATAAGGGGGTTCTGGACAGTCCGTGTTCTTTTAATCATACAGGGATGCGTGCAGTCCGTGTTCTTTTACTTCATCGGTACGCATTTATACCGTTGAGCAGAACCGGTATCTGCATTTTTTGTCAGAAAAGCGACTTTCAGCATTGTTAATCACTTAACATATTTATTTAAGCCTTCTCATAATTATTAGGGTCAATTATGAAATTATCTCATTAATCACATAATTAATTTATTAATTTCCTAAATTAACGGTGCGGGTTCTTACAATTGCCTTACTGAGATTTCTGTTTAGAGATCTCACCCCACGTTTGGGGCGCTTATTTCAGGTTCAGGTAACCCAGGGGTTGAGACCTCTAGCGGCAGGAGGCCGGAGCTTAGTTGATTGATATGCTTGCTGATTTTGCTGATGCACCTGCTTTAGTGATTATATCTTATCCATTATCATGCTTTTTGTTTTGAGACTTGATAAGTATGCTGTTTATTTAGTGAGAATGGGGATTGTCCATGCCACATTGATTTGACGATGTTAAATTTATTTGAGTTGTATAAACTATCAGGATCTGTCCAGTCTATGTGTTGTAGTTCCGAGACTAGAGACACATTTCAGTTATAATATTTACTGAGGTTATTCAGTGTAGATAGCAGTTTACTTGCAATTTACATACAGGCAATGTTTTGAAAAAGAATTAAGTAATCAACTTGGTAATTGATAATGACGTCATAATTGAAAAGAAAAAGATATTCCGCATTTATAATTAAGCGTGGCTTAATACGATGACATGTTAACAAACCGGGTATACACGGGGTGTTACACTAGAGGGAACAACCTACACAATGAAAAGTAAAAGAAAAAAAGAGGTAAAACAAGATACGATCGAGTTGTCCTTTGTTTATCCCACTAAAGGTTGCTTTTACTTTTTTTAGTTAACTTTGAAAAGCAAAAAGGACACTGCAGCGCGAGACAGAGCAGATAAAGTACTCTGCAGCGCGTAGAACAAAGCACACCAAGGAGAGCGCGACAAAAAGCAGAGCAGGCGACCAGCTGCTGCACTAAGGTCAGAAGATCATCCTCGAGAATCAGTGCTAGAGGACAGATCGACCTTGTCCCCATCTGGGGGAATCAATGTCCATCATCTGATCAAGATAGAAGGAGGCAACCTCCATCCAACGGTACAGGGAACGAATCCAATTAATCACAAGATTTCCATTGTCTTATCCTGCCTATAAATAGAAGATCAAACGAAGAGCAAAAACAGTTTTGAAGTATGGGAATCCTTAGCTGCATCGTTGGCATAACCAGCTTCTGCTCATCGAGTTTTTAGCATAGAAAAACACCCTTATCTTCTCTACACACCATTAAGTCTCCCCTCGAGCAAAGAACCAAACTTCTCCACTTTATTTTTATTGTTGTATGTTGACTTTTAAAGTCTTTGAGTCTGTAACTGCTTTTCTACCAGTTCGTCTTCATCAATTTGTATCTCGGGTCTATAGGATTTCAAGTTGTTAAGCTTATGTATACATTTTCAGCCATGTCTTCAAACATGAGCTAACTTCTTTTTGGAATGATGAAACTATGAAGATGTTAAATCTCTGTCTTTGAAACTCTCTGACTAAATCTTTTGGATTTCTATTGTTTAAGTGTTTTAATATCTTGTATCAACTGACCTTGAGCATGACTGAGAAAAGAACTTCTAAAAGGGAAGGAATTTCATACAGTTGAGCAATAGGAGGAAGGTGAGTAGTTTAGTAACACTCTCACTGGTCGCCTTGGGAATAAGGGGCCACCTCGTTCAAGAATGTTCTGTACCGAGTCATTGTTGGGAACGAAGTCGCCATAGGAATATGAGGCGTTACAGTTACATTCCTCCATCCCTCAAACACAACCTCGTCCACAAGGTTAAGGCAAACCACACCCAATGTTTGTCCAGCTTATGCAACAGCAACAAATATGTGAGCATGGCTAGCTAGAGTCCTAACTTTTATGGACAATAATCCTCCATTAAAGGACCCAATTGATGACTTGAATAACAACATTCTTGATAGAAGTGAAAAGTTCACTACTTCAAGCACTTCCGCACCCGCAAGTGTGATAAGGGCTAATGCAACATAATGATTTACTATAGAAGGAATCAATATATGGAAGGTTAGGAGTCGTTCAATGCAACCCTTGATTTTTGGTAAAAGTAGAGGTTGTCTTTCTTCAAATTTGCTTATATAATTTCCAATAATGTGTAAAGAAGCAGAATAAAATAGTATTGGAAGATAGGATATATTGCAACAAGTATGATCATTAAATTGTTACGAACCTTGAGGTCACCACCCCAAAAGCTAGCTCAAAGGGTGGGAATACCTAAGGCCTTATAAACCGCACATCAATTTTCACTCTATTGACACTGATTCGGTGGTAGCCTTTTTCCCCTTTGGCGGCTTCACTCACCTATTAGTATTTAGTACAACAGCCCTTTGGGAGGTATGACACCTTAATCCAACCTATATGTAGAGCCCTTTTTGTGGCCTCAACTCTCAATGAGAGCACCAATTGTTATGGACCTTGACGTCACCACCCCAAAAGCTAGCTCAAATTGTGAAAGTGCCCAAAATCTTATAAACCCCACATTTGTTGCTCATACAACCAACTCTTAACACGGGTGGTGATTTATTGGATTCCTTTTATATATATATATATATATATATATATATATATATATATATATATATATATATAAAATCATTTATGCAGCAACTTTACGTACAACAACGACAGGTGTATGGTTATGATTCCCCTCATTTAATACTTTCATCTTTTGTATGGTTATGATTCTCTGCATTTAATGCTTTCATATATATATATATATATATATATATATATATATATATATATGGCAAGTATTTGATTGCTGCACGTACAACAGCTGCAGAAATGTAAACCCCATATATATATATATATATATATATATATATATATATATGAGGTAGGATTCTTTGACACCAGTGTCATATTTGAAATTTGACACCTCATCTGAGAGCCGTTAGATCAAAAAAGATCAACGACTCTGATTTGTAAACATGTGACACCATTGATCTTTTTTGATCTAACGACTATCAGATGAGGTGTCAACTCATCTGAGAGCCGTTAGATCAAAAAATATCAACGATTCTGATTTGTAAACGTGTGACACCATTGATCTTTTTTATCTAACGATTATAAGATGAGGTGTCAAAATTCAAATTTAACACTGATGTCAAAGGATCACACACACGCATATATATATATATATATATATATATATATATATATATATATATATATATATCTATCTGTGTGCGTGTGTGTGTGTGAGATAAATAAGAACAGGGGGAAAAAGACAAACATGTCTTGCTGCAAAATTGCAGACAAAAGAGATGGAAAACATAATGATAAACAAGAATAGGTAACAAATATATATATATATATATATATATGTCTATATGTATATATATGTGTGTGTGATAAATAAGAACAGGGGGAAAAGGATCAACATGTCTTGCTGCAAATCCCCCTGTTCTTATTTATCGACTGCATCTTTGATTTTATACATGCACAAGGAAGGCAAGGTCTACAGATGAGGCACAAATATATGGGTGGTCATGGAACTAACCAGATTTTATTGTATATCTTCGACCCAAATGTTGCCAAGGTTATATAAATTCATATTAATCCGATATACATCCATCACCAGTGTAGGGTACAATTCTACAAATAAATACAGACATAGGAATATACATAAATGCCAAGCTTCTATATTGTTTGATTAATGCATATATCATTTTTGGGAAAAGTGTTTGTCATTTTAAATGATAGAAAGTTATGTCATTTTAAGAGAGACACAGACACAGGAAATTTGAATTTTAAATTAAAAAAAACCACTCACTTTCTCTCTCCCATGATTTTCGTTTTTCCGTGTCTATCTCTTTCCTAAAATGACATAACTTATATCATTTAAAATGACAAACGCCAAACCCATCATTTTTATTAGAATTAGAATTTATGTATATATCAGTTTATCTCAAAATTATCACAATGACCTCAAGTGAACTGAATTAAATTCCTAGTCTAGACTACCCAAATCTTCAGCCTGCCTCTGGTCCGCACTCTGGAGAAATTGTGTAAAACAACATCTTTCAAAGTCAATACTCAAGAGAAGTTATTTGGTTTTCCAATTTTAATGTTCTGCTCCACAAGGAATCCTGTTATGGCATTCTTCTGCCAGCTCTTGAAACTCCTGCAACAAAACTAGATTAGGGCAAACATTCACCTTAGTAAAAAGCATTATGGCCTATCAGCAATGTCATAGCCAGGATCACCTTGGCATAGCTAAAATCAATCAGTTACAATACAACAGCTTGAATTTTTATTTTCTACAAGACATCATACTAAATTATCTACGCTTGCCCATAATTGCTTCTTCATACAAAACCATAAGCTAAACAAACAACAGAAACATAGGAAACAATGAACATCAGTTTCTAGCATTCAAGGACAAGACATATGTAACGTGCTACAAAAACTAGGTCCATTACGGCTGCAGCATACCCTGAAAGAATACACATGATTCTTTTTGGAATGATGCACAATCTCCATAAATAGTATTTTCTTCCCTTTTCTTTTCCCCCTAGTGCACAAAATCATCCTACTAGATTCATTTTGAATTTAGGCTAGTTCCCTCACAATTCTGAGGTGAACATAGTATCAACTGTTAACTGGGTTGTAATCAAACTCGGCGATAAAAATCTGTCAGCCATTGATGCGATGAGGAATGGAAATGACTACTAATTTGGAATCTTTGCAAACTTTGGGCTAGTCCCCATACTGCAAGGAGCGTAGAAGACTAATACTTTGGAAAATTAGCAACCACTGGGAGGAAGGGTCCAGGTTGGTTCTACGAGGAACTTGCTTGTTCCTTTCCCTCTTAGTTAATTTTCCTTGGTGGGAAGGAGTCTGATACGATACCACTCCTAAGGGAAGTTTAGGAAAAGCTATTGGGCTGAGTCAGCAATAAGGCCGTTAGGATGGAATATTCATGAACTGTGCCATTTGACGATTACTAACAGAATGGGGAGTGTGCTAGGCAATGTGAAGACTATGTAGCTGTTATAAGAGAAAGGGGGGCTGGAAGAGGAATTATCTTTTGGGAAGTATTGGGATCCTTTTGGAAATTGGGAGAGACCCCTAAGCCTCTGGAATTGCTCAGGAATATCTTTGTTTTATTTTATTTTCATATGTTGGTTCTTCATTAGTTGTAATCTGTCTCAGTTTGTATCACAGTCGTGTGTAATTGGTACTTTCAGTATTGTTAATGCAAGACTCATATTGTTCTCTTCTTAATTCTCATATTTTTCTTGGTTGATTCTTATTAATTGATATCAGAGGCTTCCACTATGTATCCCGGTTGCAATTGAGTGGCGTGAGTGGTGACGCTGGCATTGCAGCTTTAGCCCAGTGTTACGATCCTACTCTAAGGTATGTGTAAGAACCCGCACCGTTAATTAAGAAATTTAATAAGTTAATTATGTGAAATTAGGAAATAGTTCCATAATTGACCCTAATAATTATTATGAGGCTTTAAGAATTATAGTAAGTGATTAAGAATGCTGAAAGTCGCTTTTCGGAAGAAAAGTGCAGATACCGGTTCTGCTAGTCGGTATAAATGCGTACCGAAAAAGTATCCCGAAAAATTATAATAAGTGCATGATAATTACTAGAATAACATGTAGAACTTGTAAAACGAGTTTCAAGTTAAAATAATGAGAACTGGTGCTAGAAACTAGTACTGGCTATGAAAAGCGCGTACCAGAAAAGTGCTCCGAAAATTATAAGAAAAATATGATAATTCTTGTAAAATTGAGTAGGGTAAGAATTCAAAGTTTGGGATTAAAATGCTAAGCGTAGCAATTAAAGTTAATACTGTGCGTTTAAGTGTTAAGCGACTATAAATACTAAAGTATGGCCCAAAACCCTAGGCCATACACATTTCCTACGTGAACCTTGCTGAGTGTGGGTGACCAGAACATGCCCTTTGGCTTTCTCCTTCATTTCTTGAAGCTTTGAGGCCATTTTTCTTCGACTTTTTCCTTGTAAACACATGGTGTGAGTGAAAGTCATCTTGGGAAGTGAGTAGTGGCTTGTGTTCTGAGTTGTGTTGTTGTTTGAGGGAGAGTTTTGGGGCTGAGTTCCTTGCTTGGGTGGTTGGAGCCTTGTTCTTGGCTTGTGAAGCTTCAAGAAGCTTCCTTTGTGAGGAAAGGGCCAAGCTTTGGTAGCATTTTCGTGTCCTTTGCTAAGTCAGGACCTTTGGAGTTGGTGGTTAGCTCCAAGAGCAGCCTTTGCCTCTGTTTTGAACCTTGGTGAGTTGTACCAACCTTGGTCTTGAGTTTTGTTGCTTAAAGATGAAGTCTTGGCATGTTTAATGAAGTAAACAAGTAACCAACCGTCATATGAACCTTAAGATGCATGTTTAAGCTTCTGGAATTGTTAAAAATGGAACCTTGGAAGGATATCTTCGCGAAATGCAGAAACTACATTCTGTCGCGAAATATCCGGATATTTGCCCGTGGAATATCCGGATATTGATATCCGGATATGGGTATCTGAATATTGATATCCGGATATGGGGATCTGGATATCCGGATAGTGATATCGGGATATTGCCAGAGAGATATCAGGATATTGGATATCCGGATATGTCCCCGAGGAATATCCGGATATTCTGGGTTTGCGAGGAACAGTAGCGTACTGTTCATCCAGAACTGATCTATGGGTTTGTGGACCCTAGTTTGAGGAAGTTGAACTTCTGTAATTAATTATTGTAAGTCAGAATCATGTGATTAAGGGCTTATGGCTTGGTGAGAAGCCTTGAGACGTAAAACGTAATGAAAAGGCGTCGTCTTAATGTTGTATACTTGTAGAGTATGATTGTTGATGTATTGTTGGTTCATAACAGATTGTGAATCTGCTGTGTTTGGACTTTGAGCTGTGGACTCTTGGCTTTGGGTGTTAGCTTGCAAGGTAAGCTTTCGTGTCCTCAGTCTAGCCATGTTGTGGTTCCACCATGTCCCATGGGGGTATAGTTATATGCATGCTGTGTTACATGCTTTTGATATATGAAATGCTGTTGAGCTTTATGTGTTAATGGCTTTTAATATGCATGTGTTGTTCCATCTTGACGGTAAGCCTGAGTATGTGGCGTCATACAAGACGGTGATCCGGGGTGGATGCAAGTAGCATCTTGCACTATTTGTGGGTATTAGACGTATATAAATCCTGCATTTCTCTGACCAGTAGAATAGAATTGACACACATGACATGATTATCTGCTGCATTGCACTATTTCAGAACTGATGATGATAAACCGCTTTTGAACTTATATTGCACATGTAAGTAAGCTTGGGGTGGAAGATCCTTGAGGACCCCTTGTCTTACTGAGATTTCTTGTTTAGAGATCTCACCCCACGTTTGGGGAATGCTTATTTCAGGTTCAGGTAGTATGGTGACTGATGCCTCTGGCGGCAGGAGGCCAGAGCTTAGCTGATTATGATATTTATGCTGTATTGCTGTCATGACTGGATTTGATGTTGTTTATGTTTTCTGCTCTTTATGTTTTGAGTTGAGACTTTGTTGGGCTTTGTTGCCTTATTTGGGTGAGCATGGGAGTTGTCTATGCTACTATGTTGTTAGTACTTTTGAGTCGAGTTGTATAAACTGCTAGTTGGTCCGGTCTACGTGTTGTAGCTCCGTGACTAGAGACATATATTATGTTATTTTAATTAATGAGGTATTTCAGTTAGCTGTTTTACTGCAATTGCATACAGGCGATGTTTTATTAACTGATTAATAAGCAAGTTGGTAATGATAATGACTTCATAATTGAAAAGAAAAAGATATTCCGCATTTTTAATTAAGCACAGCTTAATACGATAGTATGATAACATTACCGGATATATACGGGGGTGTTACAGTATGGGACTTGGAGTCCCACATCAGAAACATAAGGTTTTACTATATGGTTTATATAGATTTTGGGCTCTCCTACCTTATAGGCTAGTTTTTGGGGTATGGCTCTCTTAAGGTTCGTATCAATTGGTATCAAAGCTCCTGATCTAGGAGGACTAAAAAAAGAAAAGGGAAAACAGATCTGAGGATTGGAAGAAAAGAGAGAGACAACTGGAAAACAGATTTGAAAATTAGAAGAAAAGAGAAAGGCAAGTTAAAGAAAATCATAGAAAGATACCCAGGCTTCTTGATGAACTTCTCCATAAGACCAAACGTCACTCTAGAGGACGGTCATATACAAGAAGGAGGGACAAAAGTTCTAAGGAGAACGAGACGATCAAAACTCAAAAGGAGGACAAAATCGTGATTTTGAATGAGCCTGCAAAAACAATATGCACAAAGAAATACAATTATGGAGAAGAAGAGGTTCAATGTTCACTATAAATTATTGAGAAGAAGCCGCAACAAGATCCCATAGAAGAAGAAGAGACGCCGCCGAGGAAGGACATAAACTCAATGAAGGCACTATTGGTGGCTGAGACGCCATACCCACCGGTGGTGGTAATTGACCCACTGTCATTGCCTAATATACTAGGTTCGAACCAATATAAGCACTCCTCGCAACGGTTGACAGTGGCAACAACAATGAAAATGCTGGGAGAAAGATATAAGGTAAAAAAGGAAATGCATCAAATGAAAGACCAGTCCAAATAGTGATAGATCTCACCCCAATATTTTATGCAAGAATGGTAGGCCCAGCCCAAAATTAAGTATATGGTTCATGGTTGTCTATTTTATGTATGGAAGGGACATGAGAACCCATCAGTCTACCAAGGTCTAATGGACCCAATAAAATAGGGTTCCCTCAAAGTAGGCTGGATTGGACCTTTCATTGAATGCACACCCACAAGCCAACCCATTCAGTTAGCCTTGGATCCATTGATCTACTACTTCTCCAACCCGCAAACTAAGGCGAAATGGAATAATGCAAACCAATCCAACGGCTGCAAGTAGCAATACAAGAGCGAAGGTTATCGAAGCGGCGCTGCTGCCACCTTCTTTCCATGGCAGTCGGAGGAACCGTTAAGATGCATGGATGTGCGGCTAAGGAGTGGTCAGTCATCCGAAGGGGTTTTCATGTTGGGATCGAAGATGAGTTGGAGCCCATGATCACACCAAAGCAGTGCATCTTGGTAAGCAAGGTAAAGAACCCTCTTTATCTTGTCCATAGTCGACCAGAGGTAATG